TCCCATCCTCCCCACCCCGATAGTCATCAACCCCCCCCTCGTTCCCACCGCACACTTCACCCCACCGCGCACCCTACACTCCGCTGCGCACTGCACCCCCGTACACAAGGGCAATCAATCTGTACGAATTAGTCAATTAGTTAGATTACCTCCCATTCTAAGTAGAACTACTTCTCACGATCTTTGTTCCCTCGACATTCTGAATATTGATAGCTTTTCCTTTTCCAAATTTCCTTTTCAAAAATCTTTCCTCTAATTTTGAATTTGAAAATTTGTTCCACTAAATATATTTTGATTTTTTTTTCCAATTATCTATTTCATTTTTGGAATTTCAACTTAAATTAAAGCTAATCCTTTCTCGAAATTTTGAATTCGAAATCACTTTCGAAATCCGAAATTTCCTTAAGACCTTTTTGCACCGTGGAATTAATCAGAAATTACTTTTTGAAATTCTTATTATTCTTTATTCCTCTTACATTTTTGAACTTCGAAATTTTATTTCTTTCCTACAACATCCAATCATTCTTCGAAATAGTTTCGTATTCGAATAAAATCTTGAAAATAGACCAAAAAAAAAAAAAAAAAAAAAAAAATCCTTTTCCAAAATTCTTTTTCCAAAAATCCTAAACTCCCTACAATTTCCATTTTTGCCAATTTTTGAAAATCTTCAATTCTATTCCTTTTTCAAAAATCCAAATAGGGAATTTTAGTTTTGAAATATTTTTGGAATCTTCTATATACCCCCAATTTTTTTAAAAAAAATTAAATTCCGAAATTAATTAATTAACGGAAATTCATTATTTTGCAAAATTTGAATTTTTTTTTTTTTTTGTAAACAAATAAATCAACATTTGTCTACGTACTTCTCAATTCTTTTTCGATATTTCTTTTGAAAATTCAAAAATAATTCTAATTAATTCTTTTTCTCCGTAATTCGGAAATATTTTCTTTTGAAATTTCACGTTTTCTTGTAAATAAATTTAAATCCAAATCAGAATTTATTTTTTCGAGATTAATTATCTCTTTCGTTCAGCGTTTATTTTATTTTATTTATCTATTTATTTATTTTTATTTTTGTGAAAAATCTTGGCTATTATCTTTATTTTTTAATTTATTGAAAAAAAAAAAGGGATTTCCCCCCCACCCTCCACATGCCACCACGCCAAACCAAGAACTCCCAACGTGCTGCCGTCGCCGCCGCCACCGCTGCTGCTGCATCTTCCACTCCCGTTCACGCCATGTCCTCCACCCCCTCTTCCCCCGACATGGCCGCATCCTCCATCAACAGGTCTGACATCCGCACCGACTCAGTCGATAGCATCGCCCGCAACCTCGCAGGCGAACAACTACCAGCAAACACCGCCACCCCCGACCCCTCTGCCATCCTCCACGCACTCAACACCTTCCAAACCTTCGTCACCGCCTCTCTCGACGACATAAAGGCCAACGTGTCGTCCTTATGCGATCGTGTCACCACGATCGAAGGGACCACCCCCTCCATCACGGTCGTCACCACCGCGCAAACCACTCCAACCCCCACAGTGCAAACCACTCCAACCTCCACAGTGCAAACCACTCCAACCTCCACAGCGCAAACCACTCCCTCCTCCACAG